CCCACACTGTGGTATGTGATGACACCATCCTACACTATGGGTAAGAGTGACTCCCAACGACACCGTGGGTACGTGTATGCTACATTCCACACTAAGTAGTTATATCATGGGTGACTACCATCACACACTGTGGGTATGTGATGACTACTGACCACCAACTGTGTGTATGTGATGACTTACCATCCACACTTTTATGGGTATGTGGTGACTCCCACGAACACCGTGGGTATATGAGACTACCATCCACACTATGGTACGTGGTGACTCCCACGAACAACCGTTGGTATTGATGAGCTACCATCCACACACTTTGGGTACGTGGTGACTACCACCACACTGTGGAGTATTGTGATGACTACTACCAACACTGTGTGTAAGTGGATGACTACACATCCACACTAGGGACGTGTGACGTACCACCCACACTGTGGGTACGTGATGACTACCATCCACACTATGGGTACGTGGTGACTACCAACCCACATCTGTTGGTATGTGATGACTACCATCCAACACTATGGGTACTTGGTGACTTACCACCCACACTGTGTGGTATGTGGTGAAACTACTAACAACATCTGTGTATATAAATGACTACCACACACTGTATGGGTAGTGATACTACCACACACTAAGGTTATAGGATGACTAGAACCCACACGAAACGGGTTATTTAATTGTTAAGACCATTCGAGCCTCTGACGCAGCTGAGGAGCCGGAAGTGGAGGAGAAGGTTCCGGCTACCACCATGTCTACAGTGAAGAATTACAAGAGGAGATGATGGAGACCAGCTGGCAAGCGGCTGAAAAGATGGGCATGCCATGTGAAGGACTCATACCATCCTTTGGGTACGTCATGTTGAGGATGTTTGTGTATATGCGTGATGCAGAGTTCTTGTGTGTGATGCGAGGGTTGTTCTGTGTGTGGATGCTGAGGTTGTTGTGTGTATGCTGGGGGTATGTTTGATGTGATGCTGGGGTTTGTGTGTGTGATGCTGGAGGTTGTTGTGTGTGATGCTGGGGTTGTTGTGTGTGATTGTTTCTGAGGTTGTTGTGTGTGATGTCTGAGTTGTTGTGTGTGATGTCTGGGTTGTTGTGTGTGATGCTGGCGTTGTTGTGTGTGTGGATGCTCGAGGTTTGTTGAGTGTTGACGCTGAGGTTGTTGTGTGGTGTGATGCTGAGGTTTGATTGTGTGTGATGCTGAGGTGTTGTGTGTGTATGCAGGTTGTTGTGTGTGATGCTGAGGTGTTGTGTGTGATGCGGTGTTGTTGTGTGTGATATGCTGAGTTTGTTGTGGTGTGATGCTGAGGTGTTGTGTGTGAGCTGAGTTGTTGTGTGTTGAGATGCTGAGGTGTGTTGTGTGTGATCGGGTTGTTGTGTGTGATGTCTGAGGTTGTTTGTGTCTGTGATGACTAGGTTGTTGTGTGTGATGCTGAGGTTGTTGTGTGTGATGCTGAGTTGTTGTGTATCTATGATGCTGATGTTGTTGTGTGAGTGAGATAGGCTGGAAGATGTGTGTGATGCCTGGGGTTGTTGTGAGTGTGATGCTGGGTTGAGTTTGTGTGTAATGCTGGGGTTTGTTGTGTGTGTGATGATGAGGTTTGTTGTGTGTGACGCTGAGGTTGTTGGTGTGTGATGCTGAGGTTGTTGTGTGTTGATGCTGAGTTGTTGTGTGTGATCTGGGGTTGTTGTTGTGATGCTGAGGTTGTTAGTGTGATGGCTGGGTTTGTTTGTGTGTGATGCTGAGTTTGTTGTGTGTGATGCTGATGGTTGTTTTGTGTGATGCTAGGCTGTTGTGTGTGATTGCTGAGGTTGTTGTGTGGTGATGCTGAGGTTGTTGTGTGTTTGATGCTGGGGTTGTGTTGTGATGGCTGAGGTTGTTGTGTGGATGCTGAGGTTTTGTGTGTGAATGCTGGAGTAGGTTTTTGATGGTGTGATGCTGAGGTTGTTTGTGATGGTGATGCAGAGGTTGTTGTTGTGTGTTGATGCAGGGGTTGGTTGTGGTGGATGCTGAGGTTGTTGTGGTGTTGATGCTGAGGTTGTTGTGTGAGTATGCTGAGGTTTGTTGTGTGTGTGATGCTGGGGTTGTTTGTGTGTGATGCTGGGTTTGTTGTGTTGTGATGCGAGAGGTTTGTTGTGTGTAATGCTGAGGTTGTTGGTGTGAATGGCTGGGGGTTGTTGTGAGTGTTAATTGCTGAAGTTTTTGTGTGTGATGCTCTAGCAGTTGTTGTGTGTGAATGCTGAGGTTGTTGGTTGATGCTGAGGTGTTGTGTGAGGAGTCTGGATATGCTGGGGTTGGTGTGATGCCTAGAGGTTGTTGTGTGTGATGCTGGGGTTGTATGTGTGTGAATGTCTGAGGTTGTTGTGTTTGTTGCTGAGTATGTTGTGTGTGATGCCTGAGTTGTTGTGTTGATTGCTGAGGTTGTTGTGTGTGTGTGCTGGAATTTTTTTGTGTGTGATGCTGAAGTTCTGTTGTTGTGTGATGCTGGGTTGTTGTGTTGGCATTGTCTGTGAGGTTGTTGAGTGTAGTTGACTGAGGTTTGTTGTGTGTGATGCTGAGGTTGTTGTGTGTGATGCTGAGGTTGTTGTGTGTGATGCTGGGGTTGTTGTGTGTGTGATGCTGAGGTTGTTGTGTGTGATGCTGAGGTTGTTGTGAGTGTGATCTGCATATAGTCAAGGTTGTGTGTGATGCTGAGGTTGTTGTGGTGTGATGCTGAGTGTTGTTGTGTGTGTTGCTGAGGTTGTTGTGTAGTGTGATCTGAGTTGTTGTGGTGTGATGCTGAGGTCTGTGTGTGAATGCTGAGGTTGTTGTGTGTGATGCTGAGGTTGTTGTGTGTGTGATGCTGAGGTTGTTGTGTGTGTGATGCTGAGGTTGTTGTGTGTGTGATGCTGAGGTTGTTGTGTGTGATGCTGAGGTTGTTGTGTGTGATGCTGAGTTTGTTGTGTGATGTCTGAGGTATGTTGTGTGTGTGATGCTGAGGTTTGTTGTGCTGTGTGATGCTTGAAGGTTGTTGTGTGTGATGCCTGAGGTGGTCTTGTAGTGTGTGATGCTGAGGTTGTTGTGTGTGTGATGCTGAGGTTGTTGTGTGTGTGATGCTGAGGTTGGTTGTGTGGGTGTGATGCTGGAGGTTATGTTGTGTTGTGATGCTGAGTTGTTGTGTGTGTGATGCTGAGGTTTTGTGTGATGCTGAGGTTGTGTGTGATGCTTGAGGTTGTTGTGTGTGATCTGAGAAGGTTGTTGAGTGTGTGCATGAGCTGAGGTTTGTTGTGTGTGATGCTGAGTTGTTGTGTGTGATTGCTGGGGTTGTGTTTGATGCTGAGGAGTTGATGGTGTGATGCTTGGGTTGTTTGTGTGTGATGCCTGAGGTTGTTGTGTGTGATCTGAGTGGTTGGTATGTGTGTGAAGCTGAGGGTGTGTTGAGTGTGTGATGCAGAGGGTTTTGTGTGTGTGATGGCTGAGGTTGTTGCGTGTGATGCTGAGGTTGTTTTGTTTGTGGTGATGCTGGGGTTTGTTGTGTTGTGATGCTGAGGTTTTTGTGTTGATGCTGAGGTTTGTTGTGTGTGGATGCTTGAGGTTGTTGGTGTGTGTGATTGCTGGGGGTGTTGTGTGTGATGCTGGGTTGTTGTGTGTGGTGATGCTGAGGTTGTATGTTGTTGTTGATTGCTGAGGTTTTTGGTGGTTTTGGGGGGTGAAAAAAATTGCTGAGGTTGTTGTGTGTGAGGGCTGATTGTTGTGTAATGATCTGAGAGTTGTTGTGTGTGATGCTGAGGTTTGTTGTGTGTGTGATATGCTGGGGTTGTTGTGTGTGTGAAATGCTGAGGTGTAGTAGTGTGTGATTGCAGAGGTATGTTTGGTGTGATGCCTGAGGTTTGTTTGTGTTGATGCTGAGGTTGTTGGTGATGCTGAGGTTGTCTTGTGTGTGTGATGCTGAGGTTGTTGTTGTGTGTGAATGCTGAGTTTGTTGTGTGGTAGATTGCTGAGGTGTTGTGTGTGTTGCTGAGTCTTGTTGTGTGTGTGATGCTGAGGTTGTTTGCTGTGTGATGCTGAGGTTGTTGTTTGTGTTGGTGTGATGCTGTAGAGATTGTTGTGTGTTGTGATGCTGAGTTGTTGTGGTGTGTGTGATGCTGAGGTGATGTTGTGTGATGCTGAGGTTGTGTGTGATGCTGAGGTTGTTGAGTGTGATGCTGAGGAGTTTTTGTGTGTGATGCTGAGGTGTATTGTGTGTGATGCTGAGGTTTGTTGTTGTGAATGTGGGGTTTTCTTCTGTGTGTGATCTGCTGAGGTTGTTTGTGTGTGATGCTGAGGTTGTTGTGTGTTGTGATGCTGAGGTTGTTGTGTGTTGAATGCTGAGTTGTTGTGTGGTGTGTTGCTGAGGTTGTTGTGTGTGATGCTGAGGTATGTTTGTGGAGTGTGTATGCTGGTGATGTTTGTTGTGTGAGTGATGCTGAGGTTTGTGTGTGTGACAAGCTGAGGGTTGTTGTGTGATGCCTGAGTTGTGTGTGATGCTGAGGTTGTTGTGTGTGGATGCTGAGTATTGTTTGTGTGTGTATGCTGAGGTTGTTGTGTGTGATGCTGATGTTGTTGTGGTGATGGTGGGGGTTCTTTTGGTGTGGTGATGTCCTTAGGTTGTTGTGTGTTGATGCTGAGGTTGTGTGTGTGTGATGCTGAGGATTGTTGTGTGTGATGCTGAGGTTGTTAGTGTGTGTGTATGCTGAGTTGTTGTGGTGATGCCTGGGTGTTGTTGTGTGTGTGTCATGTCTTATGTTGTTTAAGACAGGGGTACTTTACCTTAAGCACTTAAGTAGATGCCAGTCGTAGTGCCAGTTAAGCGGAGTTCTATTACTAAGCAGGTGTTCTCTGGCAGGTGTTGGCATAGTGATCCTGGCTATCTGCTTCTGCTGATCCGAGGCGTATGCTTTAAGAAAGACGCACCCAGAAGGGCAAAGATGGCCAAAAGGGATACAGACATGAAGTCATGTTCTTCTCATTACCTCACTGGGCTCTGCTTACAAGGACAAGGTAGGTGTCACAACGTTTAATGGATCTGCTTACAAGAACAGGGTAAGTGAGTGCCATACATGTACTGGTGATCTGTCTTACAAGAACAAGGTAAGTGTCACTACATGTACTGGGATCTGCTTACAAGAACAAGGTAAGTGTCACTACATGTACTGGGATCTGCTTACAAGAACACGGTAAGTGTCACTACTTGTAATGGGATCTGCTTAACATCAACAAGGTATAAGTTTCACTAATGTATCTGGATCTGTCGTATAAGGAACAAGGTAAGTGTCACTACTGATGTACTGGGATCTGCTTACAAGAACACGGTAAGTGTCACTACTTGTAATGGGATCTGCTTACAAGAACAAGGTAAGTGTCACTACATGTACTGGGATCTGCTTACAAGAACAAGGTAGGTGTCACTACATGTAATGGGATCTGCTTACAAGAACAAGGTAAGTGTCACTACATGTACTGGGATCTGCTTACAGATACAAGGTAATGTGTCCACTACATGTACTGGGATCTGCTTACAAGAACACGGTAAGTGTCACTACTTGTAATGGGATCTGCTTACAAGAACAAGGTAAGTGTCACTACATGTATTTGGGAGTTGTTGCTGGTTATCTGCTTACAAGAACAAGGTAAGTGATCACAACCCATGTAATGGGATCTGCTTACAAGAACAAGGTGTCACTACATGTACTGGGATCCGCTTAGAAGAACAAGGTAAGTGTCACTACTTGTAATGGGATCCGCTTACAAGAACAAGTAAGCGTCACTACTTGTAATGGGATCTGCTTACAAGAACAAGGTAAGCGTCACACTTGTAAAGGGGGATCTTTGCTTACAAGAACAAGGTAAGTGTCACAATTTGTATTGGCTTACTAGTTTCAACACATCATCTAAGGGTTTGAACGGCTCACGTCCACTGTGTTGTTTACAGTCGTGTCATCTCGATTCTCTAACTCATTCAAATTCAAAGTTTATTCTCTATAAGGATTACAATGCTGAGTTTACAGAATTTGGTTATTGTGTGGTTTACATGTAGTAAAATAATAATTACAGAGTGTACCACTAGAACACCTAGCATGGAGCTAGGCATTTCGGGCAGACTTAAATTAAATCTTAAGTTTAAAATATTACAAAATTATGAGGTAAGTTGGCATTATGGCTAAGTGACTAAATACTAGTTTGTGAGTTTTAGCAATGTGAAATGCTTTTTTTGTGCACTAATACATTCAGTTCAAGTATTGGAGTATCACAAGGCAACTTATGATTAGGTAAGATTCATTATATTGAATTGAGATTGATCTTTTTTCTTATGGTCAAATGGGTTGAGTTGAGTGTAAGGTGTTAACCACCAGGTGGTATTCGATAGTTAGTTGAATGGGGTGTATCAGGGAGATAATATGTTTTCTGATTGGTACAGTTTTGAAGGTGATGAATGTGTCTGCAGTTTTAGAATTTCAGGTAGGTGTTCCAGATTTTATGGGCCTTTGACATAACATTGAATTTTTCTAAAGGTTTAGTCGGACCGAGGGAACTGTCATGATGATTTGGGGTGTCTGGTTTTTGTGCCTGTGGGGTTCTGTCGCATACTATCAAGAAATCGCTTAGGTCAAGGTTAATAAATTGAATTTTAAGTCCTGTAGATGTAGAATTGCACAGTAGTTAGGGAGTGTGGATGTTTCTGAACTGGGTTAAGTAAGTTTAGATCTATGAAGATTTGAGGGTGGGGGGTGTTGCCAGGTATGGGATCATCTACTTTAGGATTATTCTTCTTACTCTCGGCTTTTTGTTGGGTTATTAATTGCTTTAGGTGTGTTTGCTGCAGTTTGAACCCAAGCACAGATAGCATAGGTGAGGTATGGATATATAAGAATATTAATTGTGAGAAGGGCAGTTTGCGGCACGTAGTATCGTATCTTGGAGAGGAACTCCCAACCGTTTTGGTATACTTTTTTGGGTTATGTTATGTTGGATATGTGTGTGCTGAAGTTTCAGGTTGTTAGTCGAGGTAATAGGCCTAGGAATTTGCCCTCATTTGCCTGGAAATTGAGTGTTGTCGATCTTTATGTTCAAATTTGCGCATCTCCTGCTCGCTACCAACATAATGAAGTAGGTTTTTGTCAGTTTTAACGTAAGTTTATTGGCTATCATGGGTTGAGGGGTGGCAAGATTAGGTGAGGAGATATACAATAAGTCGGTGTCGTTCAGCAAAGAGAATGGGGTTCAGGTGTTGAGATGACGATTGAAGGAAAGATCATTTATGTATATATGATGAGAGCAGGGGTAGCCAAGGACACTCCCTGCAGGAACTCCAGTATCAAGTCTGTGTTGATGATGCTCTGTGTTGTTCTTTAATGGAGACATACGATACCTATTAGTAAGGTTAAGATTTGAAATATGCGAAGCGCATGGCCTCTTATTTCCCATAATGGTCAATTTGGTGTGGAGTAGATGTCGTGGTCTACTGTGTCAAAAAGCTTTTCATAAGTGTCAATAAAAATTCCCAGTGGATATTCCTTATTTTCCAATGCTGTGTAAAGCAGATCTAGCATTTTTTATGATTGCATCGATTAGTGCTTTTATATTTCCTGAATCAAATTGGCAGGGGTTGAGTATGTTTATGTGCCGTATAAAAGAATATAGTCCACCTGTGCACGAGTTTCCTCAAGATTTTGGATAGCAAATGGTAAGTTTGTGTATTGGCCTATAGCTGTTTTAAATCTGTAGGTCCCCACCTTTATTATTGAGTAACCCTTGCCGTCTTGAAGTAGTTTCGGAAGGTGCTAGTTTCTAGTGACTTGTTAAAAAAGTATGAGATAATCATGCGAGAGAACATGGCCGCTCTCTTTGTCACAATTAATTGGGACATGAGACAGATCCCTGATTTATTTTTTTTAATGACTTTATAATCTCGGTGATCCATGTGCCTCAGTTGAGAAAGATATGAAGGAATTTGGAAATTCCCATCTAGGTAGTCCCCGCATGGCATTGGTATGTGGGATTTTATTGCGAGATTAGAACCTATGGTTTGAGAATAAGTCGTTTATCTTGTTTAGCGTGTCAGTGGGATGCAGTGGTGTTTCATAAGGTTTAGTTAGGGGCAATTATTCTTGTTTTTTTTTTCAGTTGTTGTAGGTCCCTAGAATCTGAGAGAATGTTTGTCCAGGTCTTTTTGTATATCACCTCATTGTGTCAAGTGAATCTACTGGAGTAGTATTAGTTTTTTGAGCTTCAATGGATTTCAAATGGTGCTGGTTAGCCATGGGGCAACCCAAGCCGTTTGTTTGTGAGTCTGTTTCGTTTTTTATAGGACAATGTTTTGTTGTATAGTCTAAGTAATTTGTTAAGAAAAAATGTCTTGTCCAGTCATCCAATTACCATTGGCCACGGAGAATTCTGTAGGCCAGTCAACAGTCCCTCTAGGTCAGCTGTGAACTTCCTTATTGAGGCCACGTCATGGAGTTCTAAATGAGACTTTGTTGTATTCAAGTGGTGGTTTACTAATGTTTTTGTTTAAGAGGAAGGTTTGGATAGTGGTCTTGTATTGCATCTGTGATTATCCCTGATTTAAGGGGGGCTAGATATTGGTTCCATATGTGGTCCCTTATGGTTGCACTTTGTTTCAGTGAGCCTGGTTGGTTTAGTTATTGTTTGTATGAGAAGTTGTTGTTTCATATTTGTTGATGAAATCATTACAGGATGATCATTCTATAAGCTCAAGGTTGATGTTGAAGTCTCCAGCAAGAGAAGGTGGTGCTTATTCATTTTGTCTGTTTGTTATGAGTGCCTTAGTTTTCTCACTGAAATTTTGGCGGATGTTTGTGTGAGGGCGTATCCCGGTAATGCAGCCGATTGTTATAGGCGTCTTAAGGTTTTTTACAGTAAAGTTCAGCAAAAAGGGAATTCTCCATATTCATTACAAAAGTCAAGTGGTGCTAATACAAGATAGTTGGTTAGAGTGTAATAGACTGCAGTACCACCCCCACTTGGTATGGTCTGCAGTTGTGGAATGCTGTGTTATCCTGGTAGATGGTAGATATCTATTGTGTCTGCTTAATTAAGCCAGGTCTCAGTAAGAATAATGGCAGGATGAAGGGTGTCTTTAGTGATTCAGGAGGATAGGAGGTCATCATAGTGTGTTGATTAAGGACCTGATGTTGTAGGGGGGGGGGGGGGGGGGGGGGGGGGGGGGGGGGGGGGGGGGGGGGGGGGGGGGGTAAGTACTGATTAGACATTTTAGCATTGTTTAGGATAGTGGTGGCTTGTGATGCTGGGTAATAAAGGCAGTTACTTTCTCTATAGGTTTTGATTGGGTGTACAGATATGGATGTTTAGATCAGGGTCCAACGTGATCAATCATTCATCTGCTAGGTTTAAATTATGATTTATTTTATTATCCTGAGTTTGTGTGTTGAGTTCTAGTACTGATAAAATTTTTTCTTTCTGGGGGGGTAGAGTGGTAGGAAGTTTGGAGGGTAAACAAGTATATAGCTAGAGTATTTTGGTCATGTAGAGTATAGTCACTACTACACATATTAGAAGTGATGTGTGTCTGGTGTGTTGTGCTGGAATGATACTAAAGTTACAACTAGTATAAACTAATAATATAAAAAATCAAATTAAAAATAGCACCTCAGACTCTCACTAGTAATTGCACTAAGGTTCTAGAATATAATGACTCTTGGTAAGTCTATTTATTGAGCTAGAATAGCTATAGTAAAACTGAGTTTAATCTAATATATAAAAAAGAGAGGCATCTCTCGAACTCTTAATTGTAATTGCACTAAGGTCTTATATAAGTTGTTTACAAGATTAGAGTATAACTAGATTTAAATTGACAACATACAATATGCAAGTTAAGGTAGAAAAGTAATAAAAAAAAGAGAAAAAAAAAATATATGTGGAAGTTTGGGTACTAGTTAAGCAAAGATATTTAAGAGGGCCTTGAAACAATAATTATAATTGAAATATACCTAATTGGCACACACAAAATAGTCCACTAAGATATGAAAAAATCTTAGAAGTAGGAATTGATAATATAAACTATATAATATAAAATACAATTGAAATGGTAATTGCAATTGCACTAGGTGTCTGATGATTAGTTGTTAACCAAGATCAAGAATATACCTAATTTGTAAATGAAAAATAAAATTCACAATTAAAGTACCAAAAGTGAATAATAAGTAAAAAATAACAATGGTCAAGTCTTGTACGAAATGTGTTAATATTTCAGTTTTAGCTACTGATAATTTGTAATTGTATTTATTTTTATACATCTGAATTGTTTATAAAATTGAGACATTTGTATTTTTGGCCTGTTTGGGTTTTTTTTTACTCAAAATAAATGGAACTAACCTAGCATAGATTTTGAAGATTTAGACCTGGAGTCGATATAATCAGTCCATCAAGACTGATGGACTGATTACCTCAACCTCGTCCAGATCTTCATACTCTTCACTTGTTACTGATAATTAAGGCTCTATTGGCGAAACGATGTTCTCCTTTTCCATATTTAGTAGTGTTTGTCCACATTATCTTAAACCAATTTGTCGGTATTAATTACCATGATTTATACAGATTATTTTTGTGTGTATTTCTCGGTGTATGGGCCAGGCTGACATGGAGGAGCTGACAGAGAACGCTGAGGACATGGCTGAGGAAGGAGAGAGTAAGAAAAGCGAAGAAAAACTAGGACGTCTTAATTTCAAGGTAGGAGATTCGATTTTGTTTTTGGATTTTGCCACCTAAGTTGCTAGTTTATTGTACAACACATGTCCATCCTGTGGATGGTACCGCAAGAGTATATGGATACACAAAATGCATAGGAACTATGCCCCAGAAGGGTTAACAGGTGTACATCTGGATTTATATCTACAATTCACACATTTAGGAAATTTGCTTAATATATTTTGTATCTTATTTTCATTAATATCTTGATGTGTCACATAGGTTATTATACTATCTATATATTCCTCAGTAAGTGGACAATTAAGCACTCTTCCCTGGTCCCAGGATTAACGCTTCCCTGACCCCAGACCTTCTATCACCACCACGGCTTTAACATTTCCCCTTGAAATTAAGACTAGTTATCCTCAGCATCATATTTTGCATTATACAAAACTGCAGCTATACCTCCATGTATATTTTCAGTAACTCTTGTGTATATTCGTTGTCTTGCAGCTGGAATACGACTTCAATTCTAACAGTCTCAGCGTGACAGCGATCCAGTGTGAGGAACTACCAGCGCTGGACATGGGTGGTACCAGTGATCCTTATGTCAAGGTTGGTGATGTTTACCCTAGCTGCTTCTGCTGCTGTGATTCCCAGTGTCTCCTGGCACTGGATGAGTGGCGATATCCCATTGGACACTACAACATTCTGAGTGGTTGATGTTGTGACTGTGCTGCTACTAACATGGCCAGAGACGTTAACCTGCTGCTACTAACAAGCCAGAGACATACCTGCTGCTAGTTTTTTTTCTAACATGCCAGAGACTTACCTGCTGCTACTAACATGCCAGAGACTTACCTGCTGCTACTAACATGCCAGAGACTTACCTGCTGCTACTAACATGCCAGAGACTTACCTGCTGCTACTAACATGCCATAGACCTTACCTGCTTCAACTAAACATGCCAGAGACCTTACCTGCTGCTACATAACATGCCAGAGACTTACCTGCTGCTATGTACTAACAGCCAGAGACCTTACTGCTGCTACTAACAGCCAGAGACTTACCTGCTGCTTACTAACAATGCCAGAGACTCACCTGCTGCTACGAACATGCCCAAGACCTTACCTGCTGCTACAACATGCCAGAACTTTACCTGCAGCTACTAACAGCCAGAGACTTTACCTGCAGAGCTACTAAACAGCCAGAGGACTTACCTGCTGCTACTAACATGCCAGAGACTTGCCTGCTGCTACTAACATGCCAGAGACTTACCTGCTGCTACTAACATGCCAGAGACTTGCCTCAGCTACTAACATCCCATGAGACTTACCTGCTGCTACAACATGCAGAGACTTACCTGCTGCTAACTACAACATGCCAGAGACTTAACCTGCTGCTACTAACATGCCAGAGAACTTGCCCTGCGCTTTTTTTTTTTGACTAACAGCAGAGACTTACCTGCCTGCTACTAACCGCCAGAGACATTACATCGGCTTGCTCATACCTGGCGTAATTTATGTACTAACGACATTCGAAGCCTAGATAGGCAATGTCAGCTTCAACGTCTCACAGTTCATGAAACTCCTTGTAAAGCTTCTCTTTATTCAATAAGAGCTCAATAAATCGCTACGTTTAAATTGCCATGAAGTATCTTGAGACACGCAGAATGCCAAAGCTCTTGAATTCCCTGAAGATTCTAATCTACAGCTTCGAGGTTCTCCGGAGCTCATGAAGACTAGAGATGATTCTGATGTTGAGAGCCTGTGATATAGTATCCCTTACTGAACTTTGGATAGGACCCCAATGGAAATAATCACTGTTATCTGACTTTTTGGGGGGGGGGGGGGGGGGGGGGGTATCCCCATGTTCTCAAAATATGCTGCTGTGTATGACAACCTATGTAACTGTAATTTGTGCATAATACCTAATGAACTTAATATATACAAGAAAGATATTATAGAGAGTCCAGAGGATCTTGGAATATCGCCAGAAAGCAGCACGTCACTCCAGAAATTACGAGAAGAAAATCCTTCACGGTTTTCAGTAAATTTAGTCTTCCAACCTCTAGGACTTCTCACAAAAATTATAGGAATGGTTAATGGTTGAGGTTAATGCCGGGGATCATTAAAGGCACCGCAGTGACCTGTCTTGACTACCAACAAGAATACTGTAATACCTAGATATAGGGATTAAATTATACTCCCATGTATATAACGTTGAGAGAAATAATATCCTCTTAGGGTTATATAGTCCTGGGATGCTCATAAAAGAAAACAGTTCACAACACCGTTGACTGGAACAGATACACAAAAACTCCCCTCAAGGAGAGAGGAGCTTACCTGACGACGTTTGGTCCCACTTGTGATCGTTACTGAATGTCAATAGAAGATAACTTGAGGATGTACACGTTCCTCATGAAAACGCGGTGGTATCTCAGATTGACGAACTTCTTCAAAGAGTCCCAAAATCTTCATTTTTAGAGTTTTCCGATTTTGAAAACTTTGATGAGTGGCGCCGTGATGTTTCCTGTACTTTTGTCTCCTAATATCATGCTTATTTATTTTTTTCCATCTATAATCTACCTTGTTCTCGCATAATACTATCACATTTACCCTGTGCCGGTTTCGTAGGTGAAGTCAGGAGGATCTTGACTTAATTCATGATATAACTTAACATACCATGAATTAAGTAAAGATCCTGGAAACAGACAAAGCAAATGTGATAGTAATTATGGATAGGGTAGATTATAGTGGAAAAGTATTTATTAGACGAGAGGGGGACTGCTGTGCCCCTTGGAAACATAGTGGGGGGAAAAAATTCGTCATACCAGAACTTCCTGTAACTTCTGGACTCTCAAGAGGTCTGGAAGTTTCACGAATTGCTGGAAATTCAAGACTCGAAGTTGAAGATCTTTGAGAAATTCATGATCTGCAAGGTTAAGAACTTTAGTTTCAGTATCTGAAGCCTTGAAGTTTGTTGTTGAGCCATTAAGGAACTTCAAGACTTGGGGAATCCTGCAGACTAGCAGTTGAAGTACGCTGGTCGAGCATTACAGTTTTGAAATCTCCAGATCAACTTGGCTCTTTGCACTTAAAGACACTATAGATTACAGGGTTTTTGAAGCTTGGGGGACTCTAGATATATTATGGCTTGTCTGTAGAAGAGCTTTTGTCTAGAGATTGACTTAGATATATATTGGCTTGTGGAAGCTTTGAAGAGACTAGATATATATGGCTTGTGGAAAGCTTAAGAGACAAGAATATATAGGCTTGTGAAGCTTGAAGATACCAGATATATATGCTTGTGGAAAGCTGAAGAGTCCAAGATATATATGGCTTGTGGAAGCTTGAAGAGGACAAGATATATATGGTGGCTTGGGAAGCTTGAAGAGACTAGAATATATTAGGCTTGGTGGAAGCTTGATATCTAGGAGACTAGATATAATGGCTTGTGGAGCTTGTGAAGATGACAATGATATATAAAGGCTGTGGAGCTTGAAGAGACTAGATATATATGGCTTGTGGAAGCTTGAAGAGACTGTAGATATATATATGGCTTGTGGAAGCTTGAAGAGACTAGATATATATGGCTTGTGGAAGCTTGAAGAGACTAGATATATATGGCTTGTGGAAGCTTGAAGAGACTGTAGATATATATGGCTTGTGGAAGCTTGAAGAGACTAGATATATATGGCTTGTGGAAGCTTGAAGAGACTAGATATATATGGCTTGTGGAAGCTTGAAGAGACTGTATATACACGTGGCATTTTAACGCTTAAAAAGACTTCAGAATCACTTGACTTTGTGAAGTTGAGAGTTGAGAGTCACTCAGCTTTCTGAAGCTTGGAGAGAGAGAGAGAGGGAAGTCACTTGGGTTAAAGTTCAACACCGATAGATCAGTGAACAGACACACGCACACCCGGTAGGTCAGGACCAACCTTCCATAAAAAAGAAAACAAGTGACAAGACTGATACTTCCTCAGAGTCTTGAAACACGTCTCTAATTGGAGTGTAAAGATGAGGTAGTCTTGGGTGCCTCAGTGCATAGGAGAGTGCCTAAGAGGGGTGGGTTCTGGTGAGAGTTGGTTACAAGCATAGCTTGGTGCCATCACTTGGTGACTTGTGCCATCACTTGGTGACTTGTGCCATCACTTGGTGACTTGTGCCATCACTTGGTGACTTGTGCCATCACTTGGTGACTTGTGCCATCACTTTCCCCCCTACTACTTGGAGAACTCTGCCAAGCCTCGTCTATAGTAATACTAACAATTCCAATTCCATGTCTTCCTCCTCATACCGTTTTTATTAGCATTTTGCAGACTTGTTTTATTTATCGTTTGTGTCTTGTTTATATAAATATTTATTCCATTTATTATCTGCATGGTCTTTATTGTTTATTTTATTGATATTTTTTCGTGTTAATGCACTGACTATTCCTTCTCTTTTCTTGTTATTCCACTCATGCATATGTTATCGTGATATTACTAATTTATTTAATTATGTAAAGATTATATATATATTATATTATATTATTAATAAAACATATATATATAATACATATATATATATATATATAGTATTATACAGCACATGGTGTTTGGTGCCTTAGCCTACCCTATCTTTAGTTGGACTTATGCGCCCTGACTCACCTTATTACCTGACGGACAGTGTCACTAAGACAGTTATGCGTCTTACGGACTGTCACTAAGACTGGAGTATCCATGATCGGACAGTTTCACTAAGACTGTATCCGTTTACGGACAGTGTCACAAGACTGGTATCCGTTTACGGACAGTGTCCACAAAGACTGGTATCCGTGGCGGATCAGTGACATCTAAACTGTATCCGTTTTACGGACAGTGTTTTCACTAAGACTGGAATCCATGACGGAAGTGTCCACTAAGGACCTGGTATCCGTGGCGGACAGTCTGTCACTAAGACTGTATCCATGACGGACAGTGTCACAAAGACTTGGTATCCTACGGACAGTGAGTATAACTAAGACTGGTATCCATGACGGACAGTTTCACTAAGACTGGTATCCGTTACGGACAGTGTCACTAAGACTGGTATCCATGACGGACAGTTTCACTAAGACTGGTATCCGTTACGGACAGTGTCACTAAGACTGGTATCCGTTACGGACATGTCACTAAGAACTGGTATCCTCATGACAGGACAGTTGTCACTAAGACTGGTTAATCCGTTACGGAGTGTCACTAAGACTGGTTATCCATGTACGGCCAGTTTTCACTAAGACTGTAATCCGTTAGCGGACAGTGTCACTAAGACTGGTATCCCTGACGGAAAGTTCTCACTAAGAGCTGGTATCCGTTACGGACGTGCCCACTAGTACTGGTATCCGTTACGACAGTGTCACTAAGACTGGTATCCATGTACGACAGTGTCACTAAGACTGGTATCCGTTACGGACAGTGTCACTAAGACTGGTATCCATGACGGACATGACACTAAGGACTGTATCCATGACGGACAGTTCACTAAGACCTGGTATCCATGACGGACAGTGGTCACTAAGACTGGTATCTTTGACGATCAGTGCCACTAATGCAACTGGTATCTTGATAGTGTTATGATGTAGGTATGGTA